GGGGTTGTTGTTTTTACAATAAGACTCGTAGCGCTTTGGAAACAAATCAGATATGGGGAAAACTTTTTCATCGGTTGTATTCTCATGTCGCATTCTATTTATTTTTATTTTACGATTTGATGAGACCATATATGTCTGCCAACTGTCTTATAGTGTAGAGTGTAGCCGTCTGATCTGCTCTATCAAGGTCGGGCTTCTTTTTTGTCAGTGGCTCTCAATGCATCATATCAGTCTCTGAGAAATAGCTTCTTTCAAAACCTGTGGGATTTGGTACGCCTGGAAACACAAAAATATGCAAAACGGCGGCTGATGCTTTGCATATTTTAATGAAGAATTGTGGGAATATGGAGATTGAGGGGAATTCGTTATGCTTTTTTCCTGTTTTTGTTGGCTATTTTATTGTTGATTTCCCTCAACTTGTGTCACAGTGTGTGGCCAATACTGTCGAGAGCATGTTCTTTTGGCCATACTTGTCAATTTGTGGAGGTATACTGGAGTGAGACGCTGTGGTGAGGAGCCATTGATTCCACTGTGTGTGATTCATCTGGCGAGACTCCCGATCAGGGCTAGACAAGCAGGCAAGTTCTCATCTCGCAACTGGGTCCAGAGGTCTGTGGAAAATATTTTCTTTGCCTCTCTTCAACAGATTTATGAATGGTCTCTGGCTAATCAAGCAGCTATAACCTTTTAAACACTTTCCATCCATACTTTGCCTTTCTGAAACATTAATGCATTCAGTCGACGGGCTGTGGACAAGCCCAATGTGCCTGCGGTATGAAAAGAGACAGCGTTATTGCCATTGACAATATGTCAGGCGGGTGCCGTTTTCTCCTAGGGGTCAATTGAAGATGGGCCTCCGGAGCTATGGCTGTTTTATACAGTAATATTACAGATTTTTCCCTGGTCGATGCGAGTGTCTGTGTTGATTTTCGTGTGAGATGAGAGGCCCGCGGATGGGAGAATGGGCAGCCGAGAGCCCACAAACTGATGACGCCAGAATTCATTGCAACTGACGAAAATTTGTCAATATTGCAATACTTGTTCAGACATCGTGGCTTGCCGGTGGACCACGGAACGTTTTTAATTGCTTTTGGGTGCAGGGACCTGTCTTCTTGCAGAAGCCTTCGTATTAAAACCTAATCCGTCACTATTATTGAGTTGTAGTGTGGTGGGGGTTGGCAGTTCTGGGGATGGTGGGGAGAGGGTCATTTTATTTTGCTTGTTTGACTTCAGAGGGGGGGGGGGTTCGAAGGGTGGTGGTTTCCGAGAAGGAGATGATTGGGTTGGGAGTAAAGG